TATCATCTTAACTAGTCAAAAGAAGGAAACACACATGCACTCGTGCACGCATACACACACACACACACACACACACACACACACACACACACAGAGTTGGGTACAGAAATCCACTTCCTCAACAGGGAAATGGAAGGGGGGGGAAGGAGAATTAGAGAGAGGATAAGTCCTAAGGAAAACAAACTCGATGTACAAAAATATTTATAGCTCTTTTTGAAGTGGCAAAGAATGGGAATATGAAAAGGTACTCATAAATTGGGAAATGGATGAAGAAGTTATGGTATATAAATGTGATGGAATATTATTGTGCTATAAGAAATGTTGAAGGAGACGGTTTCAGAGAAATCGGTGAAGTGAATAGAAGCAGGAGAACATTTTGTACAATGACAACAATGTGGTAAAGGCAAACAACTATGGAAGAATTAGGAACTCTTATTGGTGTAACCACCAACCACAATTCCAAAGGCTTAATGATGAAATATGCTATTCATCTCCTGACAGAGGGGTGAAAGACTCAGAATGCAGAATGAGTCAAATTATTTTTGAACATAGCCAATGTGGAAGTTTGTTCTGATTGAACTCATCATAGTTATTAATCTTTGTTGTCAAATCCAATGGCCTTTTTCTCAATTCGTATTCTCCTTGACCTCTCTGTAGCTTGTGACACTGTTAATCACTCTCTCCTCCTTGATATTCTTTTTCTCTAGGTTTTCAGGACCCCTTTCTCCTCCTACCTTCCTGACCACTCCTGTCTCCTCTGTAGGATCCTCTTCCAGACCATGCCCTATAACAGTGGGTGACACAGTACCACTTGGGATCTTCTTTCCTCCCTCTACACTACTTCATTTAGTGATCTCATCAACTCCCATGGATTCAATTACCATCTTTATGCTGATGATTCTCAAATCTAGTTATCCTGTCCAAAACTTTCTGCTGACCTCCAATCTCACATCTCCTTCAAAAGATACCTTTTAGACATCTCAAACTGGATGTCCAGTAGACATCATAAACTCAACAGTTCCAAAACTGAATACATTATTTTTTTCCCTAAACCCTCTTTCCCACTACTTTCCCTGTAACTGTAGAAGGAAACACTATCATCTCAGTCCCTTAGGCTTGCAACTGAGGAATCATCCTAAACCCCTCACTATCTCTCATCCCCCATATCCAAGCTGTTACTAAGGCCTGTCGATTTCACCACTGCATCATCTCCCAAATAAGTACCCTTCTTACCTCTGACACTGCCACCACTCTAATGAAGGCCCTCATCAACACATGCCTAGACTACTCTAACAGTCTGATGATGGGTCTGCTTGCTTCAACATCTTCCTCACTCTAATCCATCCTCCATTCAGCTAAAGTCATTTTCATAAAGCACAGGTCTAATCATGCTACTTTCTATTCAATGAACTTCCTATTGCTTCCAGGATAAAATACAAAATGCCCCTCTGTTTGGCAATCAAAGCCTTTCATAAACTAGCCCCTTCCTATCCTTCCAATCTTCTCACACCTGACTCCTGACACATACTCTCTGATCCAGAAACACTGGCATCCTAGCTGTTCCACAAACAAGGTGCCCCATTTCTTGGTTCAGGGCATTTTCTCTGGCTTTCTCTCATGCCTGGAATACTCTTCCTCTTCCACCTGCTAACTTCCTTGACTTCCTTTAAGTCCCAACTGAAATCCTATCTTTTACTAAAATTACTATCTTTTATTTCCCCAACCCCTCTTAATTCTAGTGCTTTCCCTCTGTATTTATCCTATATGTAGCATGCTTTGCATATATTTGTTTGCATGTTGACTCCCCATAAGTTTGTAAGCTCCTTGAAGGCAAAAACTCTTTTGCCTCTTTTTGTATATCCCTAGCATTTAGCATAGTACCTGGCACACTGTAGGTGCTTAATAAATGTTTAATTGATTGACTGATTGACTACATATTTGTAATGGGGTTTTTCTTTTGTTCTCAATTGAGGATGGAGTTGGGGTGGGATGTGAGGTGTATTTTTGCTGATTAAAACAAATACAATACAATTTTTAAAAACTGAATGAAGGATGGATGGATGGGAAAAACTGAGGCAGGGAGACCAACCAGCAAAGCCTACACAAGGGTGGTGGTGCCAGAGGTGGGAAGAGGATTGTACAAAGGTAGTATCAACCAGACTTGGCAACAGATTGGATATGCAGGAGCGTACAATAGTGAGGAATCAAGGTTACATCTAGATTAACATCTTGGGTGACTGAGAAGATGGTGGTAACCTCCACAGTAATAGTTAAGTTAGGAGAGGTGAAGGTTTGGGGATAAAGATAATGAGTTCAGTTTTGGACATATTAAGTTTACACTGTCTATGGGTCAACCAGATCAAGATATCCAACAAGCAGTTAGAATTATGACATTAGAGGTCAGAAGAGAGGTTAGATCTGGATAAAGAGATCTAAGAATCATTTTCATACAGATAATTGTTAAAGACATGAAAGCTGATGAGATATCTAAGAAAAATAGTAGAGAGGGAGAGGAGGGCCCTGCACAGAGCCTTGGGCATGATCTAGATGAAGATCCAACAAAGGATCTGAGGAGTGGTCAGACAGGTAGGAGGAAACCATCTTGACAGAAGCGAAGATTAGGGAGAAAAGAATGATCAACAGCATCAAATGCCAGAGAGTCAAGAGCGATGAGAATTGAAAAAAGACATTAGATTTGACAATTAGGAAATCACTATTATCATAAAGATCAAGTTATAGAGAAAAAAAGCTACTCGTTCTAAACTATACATAGTAGAATTATAGCTATAAGGAGCTAGAAACAGAGTAAACATCCAACGGCTTACGAATAGTTAGGATGGTATATCAATGTAATATGAATCACGATGAATTACAGAATCTCAGAATCAGAAGAGACCCGAAAAGGTCACCTACTTCCATCTGAACAAGCCTTTTCTTTACCACTGACAAGGACCCATCTAGTATTTGTCTGGAAACTTCCAGGGAAGTGGAATTACTATTCTCTAAGGTTGCCATTATACTTCTGGGTTCTGGAAGGCTCTAGTTATTAAGAGAATAAAATTTGATCATATGAAGAATATAAGCAAATCTGCAAAGAGATCAAATTATGAAGAACCAGAGCAATGTACATAGCTTCTATATAATGCCATGAATTCCTAACTACAAACATATAAAAGTAAAAATACTTTAAGAAATACAGAGATGAATAGCCAGAAAACAGGAGGGGACATATAGAGAGTAATAAATAAGCTGTTATGGGCATGTTATACATAGAAATTAATTTTAAAGTGAAAATACAAGCATTTTGTACCATAAGTTCCAAATGGAAAGTGATCTAAGTATAAAAGGTCACATAAAAACTGGAGGAAAAAGGATAAAAGTATCTTTAACAGCTATAACTATGGGAAGAATTCTTTATCAAACATCAGATGACAGAGATCACAAAAGATAAACTGAAAAATTCTTGTGTGAACAAAATCAGTGCAGCTAGTATAAGAAGGGAAACTATGACTAGGAATAAATTTTTACATGAAACACTTCAGCTAAAGATTTGATATCTAAGCTATACAGGGATTAATACAAATACATGAACAAGAGGCATTCCTTAATAGATAGTGATCAAAAGATATGAACAATCAGTTCTCAAAAGAACTACAAACTATTAACAACCAAATGGAAAATTGTTTCAAATTACTAATAATAAGAGAAATGTAAAAATTTTAAAACTCTGAGGTTTCACCTAACACCCAGCAAATTTGCAAGGATAATGAAACAAAGAAATAGTTAACTTTTGTGGGATATTAAGCAATAAAACCAAAGAAAGTACGTAACAATTCTATGCATAATTGTATACATACATGGATGTCCGCACACAAACACACACAAACACAAAACCACTATGTTTTTCACATTCAAGGACCATTTTTTACCTATTCTATAGGACCACTATCACTTCTGATATATCCCTGTCAAAGTGTATTGACTAAAATAAGACAAGGTACTCTTGGTAAAGGCCTAACCACTAGTAAGCTCTTTGAGGACCAATGGAATCTAATTCCCTGGGAGAAGTATAGTGAAAAGGAAAGAGCCCTAAATCAGGATACCTAGTCTGGGTCCTGGCTCTGTCACACAAAGATGCTCCTGTAGAGCTGTGACCCTGGGCAAGCTACTCAACCTCTCTGGGCCTAAGTTGCCTCAACTGCTCAAAAAAGAAAAAAAGGGAAGTGTACTAGTTGATCACTAAGTTTCCATCCATTTCTAACAATCCAGGAATCTCATCTAAAATTTACATCTCTGCTGTGTTGAGTGTACTGTTCTATACAGTAGACACTGAAGTATCTTGAACATAAGTGTACGCATGCAGATTCTAATGACTTTCTGCCTTAAGATTAACTAGCCTAAACTCTCTTTTTGGACTGAAAAAAAAATTGACACCAAGAGAAGTGGAGAGACATATGTGAGAATATACAGAGCCAAGCCTGGAATCGGGATCTCCCGATTTCTAGTCCAGGCTTCTTTTCACTACACCATCAGGGGAGGAGGGATAGTAAAAATCCAGATTCTCTTCTTGGCTCTGCCAAGGAATTTGCTTCTAACACACCCCAGCATTCCACTGGCTTTTTTCACAATGGCATTTCAGGGCTGACTCTTACTAAGCTTGTGGTCAACAGTGACCCCAGATTATCTATTTTTCCTGTGCCTATCCAGCCCATTTTCATCTTGGATCTGGTTTGCTGGCACCAAACTCCATAAATGTACCATTTTGTCCCTGTACTTGCTTAATTTCATCCAGCTAGTCAGGGTAGCAAGGGGCAACTGAGGAGCGCTCTGAATGAATGAAAAAGCATTTATTAAGGGCCTGCTATGTGCCAAGTACTAATTAATTTCTGAACTGAAAGGGAAAAAAAGTAACATGCTTAAAGATGGTAATTAAGTAGATATAGGAAGGAAAGTACAAAATAGGCGGTCTGAGTAGGGAAGGATATAGTTGAAGTGAGTACCATGTTGATGATCATGGAGGTGGAGCTGTGCCTTGTGGCGATGAGGTCCAGGAGTTATCCCAGGTGATGAAAAACTGATGGGGGATGGAACAGGAGGTGACTCCTGTTCTCCCCCCAGGTCTGCCATCTTCCTAAAGAAGCCTTCTTGAAGATGTAGCACAATTGAGACCTGGGAAAAATGAAAATTGTGGCAGGATGAGGGTGGTATTATGAAAGGATAAAACATCAGGGTTCAGAAACACACCCAAGAAGGGAAAGGTGGATTAAGGGACTCACTCTTTTTCTCTTGGGCCAGACTTGTGATTTTATTGCTTTAGGGAACTCCAAGGGAAGGAGCTCCCTCTACCAAATAAGACAGACAACTATTCTGAAACTTATGGTCTAGAAGAGTTTCTTGGGGCACACAGAGGTTGTCAATTTTCCAGGGTAAAAGATAGCCAATGTGAATCGAACGTCAGCCAGAAAAATCCTCTTCCTGACACTGTGGTCAATTTTTCACCCATCATTCATGCTACTCCTAATTGACATTTACATAATACTTTTCATTCAATTCAGCAACCCTGTGAGGAAGGTACCATTGGTATTATCTATCTGTATTTTGTAGATGAGATTAAGTCACTTGTCTATTTTCACACAGCTAGCAAGTAGTAAGAAACAGGCTGCTGTTCATTTCTCTAAGGCAATAAAGATGCAGAAAGGTCCAGTTTAAATGTCGTTTCCTTAATGAAGGCTTCCCTAATTATTGCTTCACTCTCCACCCAAAGTTGGTAATACTCTTCCCCTTCCCTCTATACTTTGCATAGCATTTGGTTTTTATTCTCCCTTGTACTAGTCAGCTAGGTGGTGAGTCAGGAAGACCTAAGTTCAAATTTGGCCTGCAATACTTCCTAGCAGTGTGACCCTGGGCAAGTCACTTAACCCTGTTTGCCTCAATTTCCTCATCTGTAAAATGAGCTGGAGAAGGAAATGGCAAACCACTACAGTATCTTTGCCAAGAAAACCCCAAATGGGGTCACAGAAGACTCAGACATGACTGAACAACAATGCACCTTTTTGGAGGGTCTAATTGTGGAAACTTCCTTCACTAATGGCATTTGCAGATCACAAAGTTTTAGAACTTTAGTTGTAGAAACTTTTGTGGGATACTGAGCTTTGCCCCTGGCCACACAGCTAAAATGTGTCAGAGGTTGGGCTTGAATCCAGGTTTTCCTGACTCCAAAGATGATCCCTCTATTCACTGCTACAAACTGTCTCCTGAGCACTCATATATATTCTATTGTGATTCCAAGTGTGTCATATTCCCATTCTAAACTCCATGACGGCAAAAAGAATTTTATTTAATTTTTTATCTTCCTCAGTACCTAGCATAGTGCCTTTCACTTAGTGGATACTTAGTGTCTGTTGAAAATGAAAGCGTTGATACAACAATACAGCTCAAAAGTCAGAGTATCAAGCTTTCTGTATTAGAATACAGTGTCAGAACTGGAAGAGACTTTCAGATCATACGATTTAACTCAACCCTCTCTTTTTAAGGATGAAGAAACTGATACAGGGCATTTGGTTGAAGTGGTTACTTGCTACATACCCTGAACTTCAAAAAAGAAACAAAAATGCCCCAGTCATATCAGAAAAACATTCAGTGGTTCAGCAAGTGGCAAGATAAGAAGTAAAAATATCGTATTAAATTTCAGTGCAGTATTTTCTCAAACACACACACACAGGCCTTTCTCTGGATTAGTGGGTCTAGCCGACGGATTCTTCAACGCAGGGCCAACTTAGAATAGCCTTGGCTTAGAGCAGTGGAAAAAAAGCACCGGCCTCGGAGTCAGGAGACCTGGGATTGGCATCCCGGCTCTAACACGAGCTGTCAGCAAGCCCTTCCTGCGCGCAGAACCTCAGTTCCCTCATTTTGTACAACGGGCACAAGACCGGCCACAACTCAGCCTACTTTCACCGGGTGGCTGCAGGGGAAGCTCTTGGTGGCCCCTAAGGCGCTGCAGGAGCTGGGGTTTGGCCGGACTGGGCAGGGGACGAACAAGCCGGGGGTGGGGACCGGAGGGCGGTAGCACAGGCGGCTCCGGGCGCTCCCCTCCTCGGGCACGCAGTCAGGGTCCGGGCGGGGAGAGGGAGTGAGGAGGGCAGGGGGCGCGCGTGGGGGTGGGGCTCAGCGGATCTCAGCCCGCGCGCCCGGCTCTCCCTCAACCCCCACCCCAGGGAGGGAAGGACCGGACCGGACTGGACGGGCGAGGCGGGGCCGCCCTCTCCTCCCCGGCCACGGCCCCACGGCGACCCCTCCACCCGACCCCACTCTGAGGGCCCCAGGAGCCCGGGCCGGTGCCGGGCCGGGGAAGCTCGCGTGCCGCGCACACCTACCCAGTTCCCTCGTCCGGGACCCCGCTGCTCACCTGCCGGACTCTGAGCCGCGGCCCCGGACAGGAAGTGTCCCCCGCTCTCGAGCCCCGCCCCCGGGCCCGTGGACGCTCCGCCCCCGCGACGCTTCCTCTAGGACGCTCTAGGAAGCCCGGACGACTCCGCGCCTCGCGCCTCGGTGGACCGGGTTAGGTGGGGCTGACACCAAGGTGGGGAGTAGCTGTCTGCCAGGAGAGAGGAGGAGGGGAGAGAGGGAGGAGAGAAGAGAGGGGGAGGAGAGAAGAGAGGGGGAGAGAGGAGGAGAGGAGAAGGGGAAAGAGGAGGAGAAGGGAGGAGAGGAGAGAGGGAGAGAGGAGGAGGGAGAGACAGGGGGCGAGGGGAGGAGAGGGGAAGAGGGGAGGAGGAGAGAGGGGGAGAGGGGAGGAGAAAAGAGGGGGAGAGGGGAGGAGAAAAGAGGGGGAAAGGGGAGGAAAGGAGGGGGGCGAGGGGAAAAGAAAAAGAGAGGAAGAGGGAGAAAGAAAGGAAAAAAGGGATGAGAAGAAAGGAAAGAGAGAAGAAGAGGTGAAAAGAGGAAGTGGGAGAGTAGTGAAAGGGCGAGGAGAGAGGTGAAGGAGGGGAGGAAGAAGGAAGAAAGAAGAAGGGGAGAATAGAGAAGGTAGAGGGAAGGGAAGAAGGAGGGGAAAGGGGTAGAAGAGGAGAGGAAGAGATCAAGGTAGAGGAAAGAGAAAATGGAGAAGGGAGAGGGGAAGAAGAATGGGGGAAGTCTGAGGTTAGTTAGAAGGAAAATGAGGAGGATTGAGAGGGAGAGGAAGGAAAGAAGAGGAGGAGAGATGGAAAGGGGAAGGAGGGGAAAGACAGGAAGAAGACTGGAAGGATGAAGGGGATGGAAAAGAGGGAGAGTGGGGAGGGAGATAGAAAGGTGGGAAGGAGATAGGAGAGGATGGAAAACACAGAAAGGTAGGAGAGGAGAGGGAAGGGGAAAGGAGAGGGGAGGGCTGAGAGGGAGATGAGAAAAGGGAAAGGGAAGAAGAAAGAAGGAAGGAAGGGAGAGGAGGAGAAGGGAAAGGGAAAGAGGAGGGGAGGCAGTAAGGGAAGAGAGGAGGTAGGGACAGCTGAGAGGAGAGGTGGAGAGGCCTGAGACAGAAGGGAAGGAAAGAGGAGAGAGGAGAGAAGAAGGAAAGAGAATTGAGAGGAGGAAGGAGAAAAAGGGAAAACTGAGAGGGAGACAAAAAGGAAGAGGGGAAAGGAAAGAAGAGGAAAAGGAGAGAAGTTAGACAAAAAAAAACTGAGTAGAGGGGGCAGAGGCAGAGGTGTGCTGGACCAGCTCATGCTGGATTGTGAATGAACATTTACCCATTGGAAATTGTCAAATGATATAAATCATGGCTTGATTTATTGTTTTGTCAGTTGTCTAGGCTTAAGTAAGTGATGAAGAAGATGTTAATAATGCAGATTAAGCTTAAAATTGTGTCAAGTGTATGTATTTTCCCCCTTCAGAGCTATTTGTTAAATATTTACCAGAACAGCCTTGGGCAGAGGGAAATAGGAAAGAAAAAGTGGGAGAGAAAACAGGGAAGGGAAGAGAGGGGAAAGAAAAGAGAAGGAAGAGAAGGAGAAGAGAGAAAAGAAAGGAGGGGAGGGCAAGGTGAGATGGAGGAGGAAGAGAAAATAGAAGACGTGAAAAGAGGGAGTGGAGGAGGGAACAAGGAAAGGAAGAAAAAGTGGTAAGGGAGAAAGAGGAGAAAAAAGAAGGGAAGGAAGAAAGGGGAGTCTTTAGAGGTGAGATGGAACAAAGGAGAAAGAAGAGAGAGAGGAAGGGGCCTTGAGAAAGGAAGAGGAGGAAAGAGAGGAAAATGGGAGAAAAGAGTGGAAGGAAGAAGCAGTAGAAAGAGAAATTAATGGGAGAAAAGAAGAGAGGAGCAAAGGGAGAGAAAGATGAGTACTAAGAACAAGAATTTCAAGAATTAAAAAACCTTTGAGACTATATCACCCCAGAGGTTCTTAACCTTTTTTGTGATATATATTCCCTTGTTATATATTCCTGTATTATAACCCATGGACCCCTTCTCAGAATAATGTTTCTAAATGCCTTTGTGGTGAGGCCCATGTGTTTTGAGGGGCTGTCTCTTGAATATAGCATGGTGGGGTAGGGTGGCTCAAAAGGAGGGAGAAATCTTTTAGCCTCTTCTTCCCCCACACTTCTCCAAGAAAGACTTTAATTCCTGCTGGGCAGGGAAGCAGGAAGTTGGGACCAGAGACCACTCTGCTCTTCTCAGAGAGAGGGGGCATAGGGTTAGACTTATATCTCTCTGTTTTCTTAAGTATTGTTAGTCTAGGGCAGGGGTGGGGAACCTGTGGCCTCAGGTCACATGTGGCCCTCCAGATCCTCAAGTGCTGCCCTTTGAATCCATGGACAGAACAGCCCTGAGCAGAGGGAAATAAGAAAGAAAAAGTGGGAGAGAAAGCAAGAATGGGAGGAGAGGGGAAAGAAAAGGGAAGAGAGAGAAGAAAGGGAGAGAGGGAGGGCAAGCTGAGATGGAGGAGTAAGAGAAAGTAGAAGTGAGAAGAGGGAGTAAAGAAGGGAAAAAAGGGAAGGAAGTGGTAAGAGAGGAAGAGAGGGAAGGAAAAGAAAGGAGGGAGGGGAGGAAAAAGGGAGGGAGGATTCAGTTAAAGGGCTGCACTTGAGGACCTAGAGGGCCATATGTGGCCTTCAGGCCACAGGTTCCTCACTCCTGGTCTAGGGGATGTGATCAGGTTCAATCTAACTTCTGATTGCTTTTTCGTTATGGGGGAGGGGGGGAGAGAAGAACCCTAACTTTTGTATCCAAGGCTTGACTCCCTTTCTTCCAAATACCAGTTTCACAATGAACACACAGTGAATAGTAAAGAAACACTTTTATCCAACTCATAGCAAAACAGAAATCAGAGAAAGTATACATAAGAGAATATCTACCAGACAGTATAGAGTGAAGGAGCTCTCCCATTGGGAGCAAGGTAACTCAGCTCAACCAAAAGAGACAGTCCCATATCTCACCCAAGGGGAATTCCCAGTTTCTAATGTAGCAAGCTGGGAATGGGTACGTGATGGAGACTGCCAGCTCCTCTAGCATCTTCCCAGAGTCTTTTCTTTCTCCTGTCTTAAAGCTGGAAGCCAGGAGCACCAGAAATGACTACAAGGCCTGAATTGACTTGAAGATTTAAGAGTCTTGAAAAAAACTAAAGAGAGTGAAGATCTCTCAATCTCACCAACTTCACTTCTCTGCTTACACAGGCACAGGGCATTGATCTCCACTAACAAGGAGAACATTTATACCAATGGGCTTTGGGACTGGGGTTACACATAAAAGAAATAGGATTACAAAGGAAAAGAGAATTCCTTGAAATCTATGCACAGACCCAGGTTACCCATACTAGTCCAATTAGTGTTTGATCCAGAATTCTCCAAAGCAGTCTTCCAGCCTTGAAGACAGCCAGTGAGAGGAAATCCAAGGTAGACCATTCCACTTTTGGACAGCTTTAACCAATTCTTCTTCAATGTGACTGCCTTTCAAATACTTGAAGAGGGTTTCATGTCCCCTCTGAATCTTCCTATGGTCAAATTACATGTGTATCATGTTAAACCATATATGTAACATGTCAAGTATATGATACTGTCATTATCGTGAGGTATCACTAAAACCTATATTGTCTAGGGAAGAGCTTTACATTTTTCACCTACATGTATCAATATCGCACTTTTTCTGTGGGTTTAGTTGACTCGTGACAACCTGAACTCAAGCTGACAGGTCTAGATTCCCAGAAGGTAACCACATTATTAAGTGTCAAACTCCTTGTTGATGGGAAACATACCTCCCCCACTCACCGTTCACCACTCTAGCCCCAGACAATGAGTTTTCTATCTATAGCACCATCACTCACAATAATGGCACTTTTAAAAAATAGTATTTTATTTTTTTCCAATTACATGTAAAAATAGTTTACAACATTCATATTTGTAAAATTTTGAGTTCCAACATTTTCTCTCTCCTTTCCTTCCCTCCCCAAGAGAGCAAGCAATCTGATATGGGTTATATATGTACAATCATGTTAAATGTATTTCCACATTAGTTAAGTTGTGAAAGAAGAATCAGAACAAAAGGGAAAAACTATGAGAAAGAAAAACAAAAAACAAAAAAAAAGTGAAAATAGTATGCTTCAATCTGCATTCAGACTCCATCATTCTTTCTCTGGATGTGTTTAGCATTTTCTATCACAAGTCTTTTGGAATTGTCTTGGATCATTGTATTGCTGAGAAGAGCTAAGTCTATCATAGTTAATCATTGCATAATGTTGCTGTTGCTGTGTACAATATTCTCCTGGTTCTGCTCACTTCACTCAGCAGCAGTCCATACAAGTCTTTCTGAAGTCTGCTTGCTCATCATTTCTTATAGCACAATAGTATTCCATTGCATTCATATACCACAACTTGGTCAGCCATTCCCCAACTGATGAGCATCCTCTCAATTTCCAATTCTTTGCCACCACAAAAAAAGCTACTATAAATATTTTTGTGCATGTGGGTCCTTTTCCCTTTTTTATGATCCCTTTGGGATACAGACCTAGTAGTGGTATTGCTGAATCAAAGGATATGCACAGTTTTATAGCTAAAGGTATTTTTCAGTCTTAAGGATTACCACTTAAGGCAAAAGAGATAATATGAATGAATGAAGCATCTATTTTTTATGGTTAACTTTTATTTTATTATTTCTCAATTACACGTAAACAAAATTTTAAAACATTTTTAAAATTTTGAGTTCTGGATTTTCTCTCTCTCCCTCACCTTCCCCCTCCTTGAGAAGACAAGCAATTTGATATAAATTACACATATTCAGACACATAAAACATTTCCGTGTTAGCCATGTTGCAAAAGAAAACACAGACCACCCCCCCACCCCAGCATAATAAAGTAAAAGAAAAAGTATGCTTCAATCTACATTCAGACTCCATCAGTTCTTTCTCTGGAGGTAAATAGCATTTTTCATCATTAGTTTTTTTGAATGATCTTGGATCATTATATTGTTGAGAATAGCTAAGTAATTTGCAGTCGATCGTTATACAATATTGCTGTTACTGTGTACAGTGTTCTCCTGGTTCTGTTCATTTCACTTTGCATCAGTTCATGTAAGTCTTGCCAGGTTTTTCTTTTTAATTAATTAATTAATTGTTAGTCTTCAACATTCACTTCCATAAGATTTTTAGTTTTAAATTACCCTCCCACACTCTACTTCCCGCTCCCCAAGAT